TAAGTGCCATAATGTGCACGTCTGCCAACCCCTACAGGGACAAAAGGAGTGATATTATTTATGTTATGACTTTGTTATTTCCATAGAAAAGATTGACAGCCGATTATTATTGCAATTTCGAGGCCGTGTTCTTGTATTTTAATCTATGTTTTCCCAAGTTTTACCGAAAAGTTAAATTTTAACTATTGTATTCACTTATTTAAATACTAGCTTTTACCCGCGGCTTCGCTCGCGTCACAAAAGAATAAAAAGTAGCCTATGTGACATATACCAATACACACAGCGCCATCTATACCAATACTTTTGTTTTTCCTCGGGAATATCAATGTTTTCCGGGTTAAAAAGTACTCTATTATTTAATCCGGACTTCTAACTTTACGTCTGCAAAAATTCAAAGCAATCGGTTGAGCAGTTACGGCGTGAAGGTGGAACAAACAAACAAACAAACTCACTTTCAGATTTATAATATTAGTAAGGATAACAACATCGCATAAGTGATTCTTTAAATTAATGACAAATATACGGAACCACATTAAACTATTCATTATTTTTCTTTCTTTTTCATAGGACATAAATGGAGCATGCACAAATTACACGTTAAAAATTCTAAATGATCTCGAAATGTTGGGTTCTGCATACGAATAACTTATTTTTAACGCTTGCTCCTATTTTCGAATGTGACTGTGTGATTTAAGGGGATTCCGCTTTGCATGGACGGGTGTAGGCTGTATGTTTTTTATTTATTAAAGAAAAAAAGTATTTCATACTGCATCCATGAATTCAGTAAGAAATTTTTTTTTAATGACCCACATGGCAAATGTTTTATATTGTCGTCACGACAGTCTTTGCTAATTGATTCGTCAGTTGAGTAGTTGCAAGGGCATCTACTGTATTCTGTCTCTTTGATGCGGTGCTTGAAAAATGACTTTTGGGGGTATATTAACGAGCGTTCCAGTTCAATACAACGAGATTACACCATCATACACACTCACGTCAACAGCTTATATAAGTGGCCACTGCTGACCAAAGGCCTCTTCGGAGAAGGTTTGAGCATTAATTAACACGCTTGGTCAATGCGGGTTGGCGATTTCAAACTTACAATTATAAAGTCCGGGTTTCCTCACAATGTTTTCCTTCACTGTTTGTCAGTGAAGTCTAAATAACTCGGAAAAAGTCACATTGGTACTTACTGTTGGTAGGTTTTGAACACGCACCCTCATACATTAGAAGCGGGCATCTTATACCTCCGAGCCATCACGACATTTTTAGATTGTCAATGTTATATAAAGCTTCTTCTTAACTCAACGGAAGAAACATATTCTACTTTAGAAAAACTCCACGAATTCCAGTTTTATTCACCTCAAAGTTACAGAAGTAGTGTATATGTAAAGCTATTATACCGTAAAGCGAAAACATCGCTATAAACGTCACAAGATGCGCTCACTCATCAGCGATGAAAGCGATACATTGTACAGTCAACGTCAAAATAAAGTGCTGATTCGGTCAATGAACTGATTGTAGTCTGCTTTGCAGTGGTTCCACATCATGGCATTGTTGACTAAAAGAAGCTCTATCTGTGATAATCTGCTCCACACTAGGTTTGAATCTTTAGTAGATAATTATGTATTTTGTAGATTCCCGGGTAGGGCAAAGTATTACGGGGCTTTTTCAAAAAATCTCAGTCGTGCCACGGAGTCTGGAATTGTGCCCGGTATATGGCAACAGGCTCACCCCTATTATATGGGACTCATAACATAAATAGTGAAAAGTCGGTGTAAATTGTACAGTGGCATTAAGTACCGTAATGTACACCTCTGCCTACCCCTTCGGGGATAAAAGGCGTGATGTTATGTTATGCTATGTTGTAGATAATTACATGATCCATAAGAGCCATCAGACCACCACAGATGGGGCTTAGTAGGGCTGATGCCCGACACGGAGCTACAGAGGACTTAATGAGTTACCGGGGCTCCGGCTCGAAGTGCAGAAGTAGGAACGGGGTGGTTTTTAGTCAGTAAGAGTCTGACACTCTCTCTCGCCTCACTCAAGGCGGGAGAAGTAATTGGGTGGTTTTCTCACCTCAAAAAAAAAAGATCTATGTTAGTTTTATATCAAACTTGCAACAAACAAAAGCATGGATCAAACACATTATTTACTTTAAGTCCTGAATGCGACAAATGTCAGGTCTCGCACATAAACCAAAAAAAAAATTACGACCATATTTCGTTTCAACAGCGACTGTACAGAGAACGAGCCATTTCCCCTTAAAGCGCTGTAGCGCAAAGTACCTCTTGCTGTAAGTGCTAGATTGTCTCAGGGACTCAGGTCTTTGTGAGGCAATCGGATGCTCAGTGGAGACTAGACACTACCAACTTTGTGACGTTTTGTTTTCTTGTGGTTAGTTTTTATTTATCATACGAAACTGTCACCACTATTGTGACTAAAAAGGCTTTTACGAAGTGAAGGTGAAGGTATACATCGTGAGGAAACCTGCACTTATAATTTCAATTTAGAAGTTTAAAAATATCAGTCCGTCTTGAGCAAGCGTGGTAATTAATGCTCAATTCTACAGCATGTGTTCAAAGTCAAAGCATTTATTTCAACAAGACCACATACAGGCACTTTTGAAACGCTAAAAAATAATAATCCGTCAATGAAGCTAGGCTAAAAAATACTTTGACACTTTTGTCACGGAAACAGTATACGTAGCTCGTTTACCTTGTTAGCCAATGAAAAATAGCCATAATTATAATCAACTAAAGGTCTAAACTATTTTATTTGGTGAGGTAACCACACAAGCGCATTGCGTTTCGTACGACTACACCATACCAGACGTAAAACAATAAAAGTCAGTCGGTATTCTATGCGTAACCCGCGAACCTAACATTTCTATAGTTTCTGGCAAGTTACCATTGTATGGCCGTTAAATAAGCGGGTATTTTGAAATGAATACGTTATTAAAGAACTACTTTAACGGATACATGGTGATAGCAATGTAGAATCCATGTTTTTTTCTATTTGATGGGCCGACGTTTGACCACTATCTGGCCTGGTGGTAAGCGATGATGTGGTCCACGTTGGAGCACGTCGTCCCATAAGCAACTTATTCACTCGGGCCTTGTGGTGACACCCAGGTAATATATAATATAATACAGGCATTCCCTTCGGGAAATATAGATTCTGTCAAATAATTCATCTCCTTAGCAGTACGCACAAGGAACCTTGATGCAAAGCGCTTCGTGCGTGTGGGTGGGACGTCTACTCGTACTATGAATCGGTGATGCTTCGCCGATTGTCTTGTGGTACGATGACGGAAAGGACTAGGGGAAATCAAGTTGTGCAATTCCCGCGCATACTCACCGAAATGTATCAGGTAGAAACCCGAAAGGCTTGCAACCTTACACCTGTATTCGAGATGCCAAGCGCATCATCGTTGATGAGCCTCTTGGCACGCCTTTCAATGTACCCTAATGCGTCAAGCTGATACATAATTACACAAAATTATGGCATTCATAATTTCATTCATATCCATTCACCATCTCTGAGAGTTCTGACTAAGGGACTACACATTTGTCCGAGAACGGGCAGCAGTACTCTAATGAAATAGGAACTTTTTGAACTGTAATCTCAAACCCGTCTTTTTTTTATGAGACAAGCCCGCCACAAACAGTGCAAACCGCCGCAACTCCTATAAGCAAGGATCTACAGTAGATACAACCACGAAAACACCGGAACACTGAAGTACGGTGCGTCCAGGGACATGTACAACTGTCTTGGTTCCCGCAACGAAATGAATCAGACGATATTCTCAAACCCGTCTGCTGAACATGGTGATTATGAGAAATCGTCTCATGTAGAGGAGGCTCATTATAGTTGAGCAGTGGACTGTTGATGATGATGACACACTGCAGACATCAGAAACAGCGGGATTTTCTTTATTTGTTTCGTTGGCTGCCTCGTTGGCCGAGTGGTCGCAATTGCGACTGCCGGGTCGGGCAAAGTATTACTGGGTTTTTAAAAAATTCTCAGTAGTAGCACGGAGTCTGGAACTGTGCCTGGTATATGGCAATAGGCTCATCCCCTATTACATAGGACTCATAACATATGTAAATAGTGAAAAGTGGGTGTTACATTGTACAGTGGTATAATGTGCACCTCTGATAAATCTCGGATAAAAGGCGTGATGTTATGTTATGTTATGTTTCTTTGACTGTAAAGCACCTATATTGAAATGAAAACATGAGTACAATATACACATTATCCGCTTCCACCTCCGCCTATAATGCCGCTGACTCTAAGCCCCCAAATAAAAAGGGTTGGTGCCAGTTCGAAACACAAGACGGGATATATTGAAATAGCTAGCATTGCAATATGGAGCCACTCTCTAACACACGCCTTTGTGTAAACGCCACGATTTCATGACACCGTGTCTATGGTGTCAAAACTATTCTTGATACTTGAATTTATATTAAATGCAATTTCTGTCTGTCTGTATTAATATTAATACGACGTAGAGGTGTATATATAAATATTGCTTTGTATGTAGGCAGTTTCAAATAAAAAATCTATGTTATGTGTGGTTTAATTTGAACTGTTCGACAGTTCACTCGACTAGTTTCGACCCACGCCAGAGCCTATAAACATGAGCAATCAAATAGTTTAGTTACCTCGTCGAACAGTTACGAGAGTAAGTCGTACCAGGGTTAATAAGATATTTCTCACGATAGTAATCACATACATACCTAACTTCACGCCTGTCTCCCATAGAGGTAGGAAGATAGTACGGAACGCTAATTACTACGATTCCTACATTCGCTTCATCAACAGTCATCAATCTTTCCATGCTTGCTCGTCGGTTAAGAGTACTTTTAATTTGGCTCTTCTTTAATATATCGCCAATCTGGTCAGATATGTCCGTCTAGGGCGCCCTCTACCGACGGCTTCGTTCATATCTTCTCTGTATACTTCTTTCTTTAATAATTTTCTTCTATTTGTTTCAGCCCGAAAGATTGAACGTGTTCAAAAATGACCAAGACAGTTGGGATTACACACGTAAGTTGTATTTTATAAATTATTCACTAACTTATAGTTACAGTACCTACATTTAGGCGATGTCCTAAAAGAATAGTAATACTCTATCATCAGTTTTATCGTAAATACTAAACTTAGGGATTAGTATTTAGGAGATGATCACGTGTTTATGTTCTTTAGGATATCGCCTAAGCATCAAAAGTAAGCAATCTAGTTTGTCTTCATCATAAAATTATAACAATTATGTTTGTTGCTCTGTCACAATAAAATACTGAAAGGATCTCGATAAAAATTTTACATATGTGCATAAATTAGATAAGGCTAAATAATGAAAAGCTTACTTTTGGTACTGGCTGTATTATTTTTTGTCAATTATTATTTTCTTTGCTACTTCATACATATATTTACTACAAAATTGCAAAAGGATTAATAATATTTAATATACTTTCAAGACACAAGACTAACGCATGAGTTTTGCTTTAAAAATATTTATATTATAGCTTTTGTGAGACATAGTAAATTAATTATTATGTTTTCGGCTTACTCTGTGACTATTTGACTAGTTTCAAGCCATTCTAAGAGCTCATATTCATGAGCAGGAATCCGTGACCCATTACACGGCGAGTGTCGCCCTGCTACACTGTTGCTAGTTGAGTCTAATCGAGTTCAGCACAAATAATTACGTGAGTAAGTCGATAAACATAATTATTAATTTTAAAATATTATTTATTTTATGTTTTAATCCTTTCACGAAATCTCTTGACTTCGCAAGACTTCTAGCCAAAATACTACAATAGACATTATATTTTCAACGCCCCATTACATTCATACATTTTTGAGCAGATCCTTTGCCAAAACTTCAACACATTAGCGTCTGATATGAAGTAGTTTTGTAAAAAAAATGTGATCGCATTGCAGACATCGAATTACAAAAAGAGATATAAATACTAGCGTTATATTATATAACAGTTAATGATAAAGGGTCCGGGTGTGGTTCAAAATTAGTGGAACATTTCCGAATATGATTGAAGTAGACCAATGTTTTCGATAACGATTGATTTTTGGTGGTTGGTAAAAAAAAACGGCACAGATTTATATCTGTGCCGTTTTTATTTTAATTTACCAAATCATGGCCCTAGGTTAGTTAAAAACCCTTAAGCAAAAACGTTGTAAAATAATTACTCAAATGTAAAATTTATTCCTCCATTACATCGAGAATTTTATATCATTTTAATATTAAAAGAAACCAACTTAAAATTCTCACAAAGGGCACGTTAGCACGTCTAAAAGACGCCTTTTCATATGCAAAAGAACCGGATTTATCCGGTTAGCGCCAGCTCTGGGTAACAACAAGTAACGGACTCGAATGCCAGGACGCCATTTTAGAATTTAAAACGTTTGAATTTCATATTTTTCTTTTTTCGAACAATAGAACGGAAAAGTTGTTGTTGCATTTTTTAGTTTGACTTTTTAATCATTCCATATCATATTTTCACAAGTTTTTTTATTTAACTTAGAGGCTTTTGTAGCCCAAAATATTCGTATTACTTTTCGAAATCTTCTGTTGTAGATTTGTAACACAAAAATTTTAATTGTTTCCGATCTTTGGCAATAGGTCCACTCATTAAAATGAAAATCTAGTTAAGTTTTTTTTTTTATAACATTGCCCCACACTAGGATTTTCTCCTGTATCGTGGGTGCGTTTACAAACATACAATATCACATATACATGACACCCAGACCCGGAACAACAATCTGTGGATCACACAAAGAGTTGTTCCGTGCGGGTATTGAACCCGCGACACGTTGCGCGGCAGCCAGTTGCCCAGCCACCGCGCCAACCGTGCAGTCAAAGTCGAGTCAGTATAGTTTCATTATTTTGCAAATTGACTATAGCTGCTGAGATAATGTGTTGTTCTATAAATGATAAAATATAGAATGCCCAATCAGAACATCGCATCGTCTATGAGTTATGAGTTCGATTCCTCGTTAATGCAAGACCATTAATATACGGACTATCGTAAATCAAACGCTAGTGAGAATACTAAGCAGTGATCAATATTGTCTGTACTTCATTAATAATAGGCTGTCGATGGAAATAATGCATTTTGAATGTGATTCTGATGCTGAAGTGCATTTGTTAATGTGACATCCACTTTTCGTTTTTTTTTTTTAGTATAAGGGTGAAATGTTGTCTTATACTCTTTTAGAGTACTGGTTAAATACTCCAAGTATAGTGCAATTGACTACCTCACTGGCCGAGTGGTCGCAAGTACGACTGACAGCCAGGGGGTCGATTCCCGGGTCGGGCAAAGTATTACTGGGTTTTAAAACAAATTCTCAGTAGTAGTAAAAAGTCTGGAATTGTGCCCGGTATATTATTACATGGGACTCATAACATGAATAGTGAAAAGTGGGTGTTACATTGTACAGTGCTATATGTGCACCTCTGCCCACGCCTTCGGTGATAAAAGGCGTGATGTTATGTATGTATGTTGTATACTGCAATTCCAGACTTGGCGCCGCTATTGAGAAATTGTCAAAATCATTTATTCAATTAGACCAAGAAGGCACTTTTGAACATCAGATAAGATCTAAAGTGTCTGGCTGTCGGTCACTCCTCCAATATTACTTCACCTGACCTGAGAATCGAATTCGAGACCCCTAGCTTGATAATCACACTTGCGATTACTCGACCAATGAGGCAGTGTAACACAAATCCTCTCCCTATTTCGCACTCCAACTCCAGCACCTATTTAAATATAACAAGGCAACTATAAAGTGTAACAGTAAATTTCCTTTTATAAGAAGAGCAGCGTGTTCTTAGGAAATTGCTATCTGCATGTCGTTTAGTGAAAGTCGCCCGCAGCGACCTCTGGTGCACGACTTTGAACTAATTGTAAGTGAGACAGAAGTACCACTTCATTAACGGTTTTATACTAGCTTTTCCACCCGTGACTTCGTTTATCATCATCATCGTCATCATATCAGACACCGACCGTTACCGATCATATCAGACAGCCACAGACGTTCTCTGCAAAACATAGGTCTCCCCAGTGAAAATGGCCAAAATCATAATATACATTCATATTATGTATTCATATTATGTATATTATGATTTTGGCTGCCTCGTTGGCCGAGTGGTCGCAAGTGCGACTGCCGGGCAAGGGGTCTCGGGTTCGATTCCCGGGTCGGGCAAAGTATTACTGGGTTTTAAAAACAATCTCAGTAGTAGCACGGAGTCTGGAATTGTGCCCGGTATATCGCAATAGGCTCACCCCCTATTACATGGGACTCTTAACATAAATAGTGAAAAGTGGGTGTTACATTGTACGGTGGTATAATGTACAGTTCTGCCTACCCCTGAGGGGATAAAAGGCGTGATGTTATGTATGTAATATACATAATACAACCAAACCTACCTCAAGAATCACACTATCTATTGGTGGAAATCGTACGAAAATCAGCCCGGTAGTTTTTGGGTTTTGTGACAGCTCTCAAGAATGCACGTCTTTTAGGTTCTCTCAGCTTTGGATCTTATAATTCGGTGGCAAAAGAAAGCACGTTAACCCGTTGAAATCCATCCCCTAAATTTGGTCATACAAAAGTAGTCTCTAAATGTTGGAAATAAGGTCTATAATGTAATGTAATATTAGTGGAGAGCGGTCACCGGTGACCGCTTGGGGATCTATGGGCACCGTAGCCCGCGGTTATCCTTCGCGTAAAAACTAAAAGAATTTGATTACAAATGTTACTTATTTTTTTATCCTGATGATACAAGCAAAGCCGTTGGTAGAAGCTAGTATATAAATAATTAATCATTTCATTGAGTTAGTGAGTTAGTTTTCTGCTCATATATCTGTCTTGTAGACACATTATCTTAAGAAACGTGCGGATTGGATGTTCAGAGTTAAGATGCTAAAATAGTGAAAGGATGGTGGCTGTGAGATTGTTTAAATTAGCGGTTTTAGTTCATAGTTTAGCTACGTAAGTTAAACTTTAAGATGTTGAAATGGGGTTAAGCAGGTTGCTAAAAATATGTTTTTGTTGAGATGGTCTACATGAGTTAGTCAGCGTGTCGGACAAAAGTATTATTAGGCTACTATGATTTTTTTTCTAAGTAATATCAAAGTCAAAACATATTTAAATTAATCCTTGATCAGGCACTTTTGAAATGTCAAATTGAATTGTTAGTTAAGCTAGGTGCGCACTCCAAAGTGTAGTTTCGAAAGGAGAAGGCCGAGCAAGAAACTCCATCTCTTATATGTCGTCTTATATATCTTCTATGGAGTCATTAACTCCAGTAGATTCGCTTAGTTATGTGCAACTGATCTGGTAAACAATACGTCTGGTATAATGAGGTATGTGTGTCAATTCTAATTCTATATTCTTTTTTCTCTTTTCTGAACCATATATAACCACAGGAAAATAATATATAATTACCATACTTTTACCTTTCCCCTCAGGGATCAAAAGGCGTAATGTTATTTATGTTTTTTTTTTATTTTTATTTGTTATATAAGTTTGTGTGGTGGTGTTTATGATTACATTTACATTCTGTGGAAAACGCCGTTGGGTACACATTTGTTCGAACTACCTATGTATTGCGTCATCATGATGTATAATGTAATGTGTCACTGTTTGTTTTCCCAAATAAATGAAATAAAATTCTAGTCCAGGTTCATTCAATATTATCACGTACTTCTTTGAAGAATAACAACCATAATCTTAGTTAGGACTTAGGTCTTAAAAACACTGAACCGAAGATAATTTACCTTCTCATTTAGCGAAGAGAACTAACAAAGAAGTCTTGGAAAACAAGTTAATTAATCATTTTGCTCTTAATGCACGAAATTTTGAAAAATAATCCTCCCTTGCTATTAATCATTGCTCTCGAAACTTAATAGCTTCGAATGGCAGTAATGGTGAAAGTGCTGTGATTGCAAAAATTATAATTGCAAAAGATGTAATTAAAGATGTCTGCCTTTTTTTTAATATCTCGTTAGCCTCGTTCGACAACT